GTAGGTGACTCAATGTCTTCTTAACTCCAAGATGTCCTCCTGTTAAACTATCATGGGATTGACGCAGCACAACTTCCCGTATCTTTCTCGGTATAACTGTTTACCAGGTCGTCTGCAGTTTCCCATCTCTGGAGTAGAATACCATCTTCAAGCTTCAACTGGTCCCATTGTGCCCAATAGTTCTTTGTCACAGGGCTTAGACTAGACACCTTCTCCCAAGGAGGGCGCAAAACACTTGCTTTTAGGAAATCAATCATTGGCTTCAAATCTTTGTCTTTCTCCTGTTTTGCCTTGATATCTATATTTGGTTCCACTTCACCATCATCAACTCTTTCAGTCGGCTTGACTTCAGCTTGATGGCACCTGGTTAGCTCAACCTCTCTTTTGCAGCAATGTCTGCAGTCATTTTTGCAAGGTCTTCGGCTCAGTCCATCAGCATTACCATGGGATTTTGTAGATGCCTTGGACAGAGAAGCTTGGCTAGGTTTAGGACGAGAGTCCGTGCTAAAGGGTAGAGCTGGCACAGGATTTGGAAAGTATGACACACAAGGCCTACCCAACTGTGCCATCCGATGTCCTAAAGTTGTTGCTGAGAGCTCAGTTTTTAGACGCCTTGGACAGTCCACAACTGAAGATACAAGTGAAGTAAGCACATCCCTTTACTATAGAAGTAAAGCCAGAGCACTTAAATTCGAATCCTATGTTAAGTACAGCACAGAGGTACCAAAGTTGGTACAGTCATCAGGATTCAAGGTAAGAAAAGGTCAGCTTTCACAGAGGTTTGAGGGACTTTGCTGGCACTGTAAAAAACCTGGGCACAAGACAGCTCAATGCTGGCAACTTCAAAACAGGGAAGATGCCACACCAGAAAAGGCTGCTACCCAGAAAGGTTGTTGGAATTGTGGAGAGCAAGAACATATGAGGACCAGAGTAAGAAGAATACCGCCAACAAGTCAGTTTCGGGAAACCAGTATTGATTGGTGCTGAGGGACGCCCAGCAACCCCAATTGTGAAAGTCCCAACAGCTAAGTGTAAAATGGCAAGCATGCATAGTGTCTACATGACAGGAAAGGT